ATGAATCGTTGGTGACTCCAGGTGCACTGCTACAGTTGACCTAGTGCCACTAAAATAAGTTTCACCCATACTCAGCTCATATTTTGCAGTTCTCACCCAAGGAGCACAGCAATGTCCCAAGTCCCAAACCACGAATACACACAATAAAGCTTCGATAAGTGTCCTTGTCTTCATAATGATAGCCCAGGGTCCAAAATGGGGGTGAATACAAAAGGCTCCAACCTATTAGCTCCGAATCCGAGCGGAGGTGGACTAAGCAATCCGGGGATCCGATGGAGGTGCGTCGTAGCAGGCTCCAGCCCGGCCTGTTAGCTGCGTGTCCGGACGGTGTAGCAGTCTCCGGCCTGTTAACTCTGCGTCCAGGCAGTATAGCAGGCTCCGTCCTGTTAGCTCCGAGTCCGGGCGGTGTAGCAGACTCTGGCTTCGTTAGCTTCGAAATACGGACAATGTAGCCGGCTCCGGCCTGCCAGCTCCGAGTCCGGGGAATGCAGCGGGCTCCGGCCTGATTAGCTCCGAGTCTGGGGGACGCAACAGGCCCCGGCCTGCTAGCTCCAAGTCTGAGCGGGGGAGGACAAGGAGGACAGGGCAGGGCCCAGCCTGCCCTCCCGGGAATCTAGTAGACGCAGTAGGCACCGGCAGGCTCCGGCCCGTCAATCCAAAGTCCAGGTGGAGGCGGACATGGTAGACTCAGGTTTGCCTACCCAGAGTCAGTATTTAGACCGGCCCGCTTTGTCCAAAGCCCTATTTCAGTCCAGAGGGAGACGCTACGCCGAGAGTTTACGTGTCGCCATCTTGGGTTTTTCTACTCTGGATTTATGTTTTTTGTCTGATTTTTGATTTTATCTTAATATAGTATGTTAAAATAAAAAATAAAGTCAATTCAAACATGTGAGGTTGTAAAGAATGATACCAAACAAGGCAAGGTAAATAGTTTTTTCAAGGCGAAATGTAGAGGTAAAACCAAAAGTAGTCAATAATGGCCAATTATACCTCAGTTACTAACTCCATCCATCCATTCGCTTATGCTTATCCTTTTCAGGGTCGCGGGGGGCGCTGGAGCCTATCCCAGCTGTCATAGGGCGAGAGGCGGGGTACACCCTGGAGAGGTCGCCAGTCTGTCGCACGGCTAACACACAGAGACAGACAACCATTCGCACTCACATTCACTCCCGCATTCACACCTATGGGCAATTTGGATTAATCAATTACCCTAACCCCACAAACTGCTGTGGTTAGCACTGTGGCCTCACAGCAAGATGGTTCTGAGTTCAGTTCCACCATCAGGCGGGGTCTTTCTGTGTGGAGTTTGCATGTTCTCCCCGTGTTTGTGTGGGTTCCCTCCGGGTACTCCGGCTTTCTCCCACAGTCCCAAGACATGCAGTTACTAACTCAATTACTTTATTCAAGAAGTAACTAGTTACTATAACTAGTTGTTTTTTCAAAGTAACTTGCCCAACACTACCCCTAGGTCACTTCAGGTATTAGTGACACCCTAATGCTCCGAATGTCTTGAAGGCTCTAATTAATGATGTATTAAGAGACTTAAAAATTTATATTTTTTTATCAATATTTTGCTTACCTGCATGACATATTTTTTTCAAGTTCCCTGAATAGCATGTCATCCATGTCTGCAGTATCCTGCAATAGCTTCTGGAGAACAGGTTGGGTTTAAAGGCTGAAAAATGTGAATTACATTCTTCCTCTGTCACTTTCTCGGACTGGCAAAGACGGCGAGTGAAGACTGATCCAGTGAATGTGCGGGTTATGACCCAGTGGCCTACTCCCAGCCTAGTCGACAACTGTTGCAGTACATCCTTGGCTTCCTTAGTTTCTACTATAGGTTCATTTACAAATATAGCCAGGTAACTGCACCCTTTACACCACTCACTTCCAGTAGAGTCCCCTTTGTCTGGTCCGCAGAAGCACCAGTAGCCTTTAGCAAGCTTAAGGAGCACCTGACACTAAACTACAATTTGAATTTAATTTATTTAAATTCAGTTTCTGATGACACAAAGTTCTGCCCATAGTTAGTATCTTGCCCAAGGATATTTGGCATGCAGACTGGAGAAGCCAGAGCAGAGATAAGCCTGAGATAAGCTCAGGTTTATCTCTGTTTGAGGTTTCTGTAATATCACCCATCAATTTTGATTGGCGATGAGGCCTTGCTCAAGGGCACTGAACAGAATACACCCCGGTCAGATAAAGAAATTCCTGTAAAGTCCTTGTCTTGCAAGCTTGCTCCTACATCAGATCTTATGAAATCAACTCTGTGATTAGCGCTTCAGCACTTAAGTTACCTGCCACTCTTTGCATCCATCCTAAATTCCATTTCTCAAGTTAAACCAGTTCAATCTAGTCCATTGTGTAAGATTTCATATCTCAGCTAAAAAAAATTTGTGTTGAAGTTGTGCAGTGCTAAGCAAAAGAGAATGAAAAGGGTGAGATGAACCTCCAGTGTTCAGCTCCTTGAGGCTTAATTTGTCTGATAAAAACCTTCCACAGACTGTAACTGCTCACTGTTTGCATGATGGTGCATTTTTCAATATTTTCCATTTATTCACCTTGCGCAATTTGTTTAATGAAACATTTTGTCGTTTTTTAAAACATTAATGGATGAAGAATTAAATATTACCTATATAAGTTTTGATAGACATGTGGAAATTAATACAGATATTTTAATTTTTTTATTATGTTCACATTATATATTCTAATAACTTGCAGTAACTCTATTATTATATACCTCATTTTGATCCACAAAAATCTCCACAAACCTATGTACACTTTTATTGCAGCATTGCTACTGAACGTTGTTATTTACGCCACAACTATTTACCCAAAACTCCTGATTGACTTTTTATCTAAAAAACAAATCATATCATATTCAGCATGTCTCTTTCAGTTTTCCATAATTTATTCTCTGGGTTCTTCAAAGTTTGTTCTCTTGGCAGCCATTGCCTATGACAGATATATGGCTATATGCAAACCTCTACAATATCCAACCATCATGAGAAAAAGCACTGTGAGTATTTTCCTGGTCATAGCTTGGCTTGTACCTGTATTTGTCACGGTTCGGCATGGCAAACCGTGGGGGGTGTGGGGAAGGAGGACCCAGGCGCGGTGCTCTATGTACAAGCAGTGCGTTTATTTACAGTGGTGGAACAAAACAACAATAAATCCCCGTGCTTTCCCTGACTCCAGTGTCGTGTCTCTCCGTGAATAGTTCGTGCCTCAGTGCTCTCCGCTCCCGTGTCTCAGCACTCCTCGTGCTGGCTGCCATCCTGGCGCTCCACACTTCTCCTGGGGACACAATAGACGCAGCTGTCAGGACACATACAGTGGGGCTAAAAAGTATTTAGTCAGCCACCGATTGTGCAAGTTCCCCCACCTAAAATGATGACAGAGGTCAGTAATTTGCACCAGAGGTACACTTCAACTGTGAGAGACAGAATGTGAAAAAAAAATCCATGAATCCACATGGTAGGATTTGTAAAGAATTTATTCGTAAATCAGGGTGGAAAATAAGTATTTGGTCAATAACAAAAATACAACTCAATACTTTGTAACATAACCTTTGTTGGCAATAACAGAGGTCAAACGTTTACTATAGGTCTTTACCAGGTTTGCACACACAGTAGCTGGTATTTTGGCCCATTCCTCCATGCAGATCTTCTCGAGAGCAGTGATGTTTTGGGGCTGTCGCCGAGCAACACGGACTTTCAACTCCCGCCACAGATTTTCTATGGGGTTGAGGTCTGGAGACTGGCTAGGCCACTCCAGGACTTTCAAATGCTTCTTACGGAGCCACTCCTTTGTTGCCCGGGCGGTGTGTTTTGGATCATTGTCATGTTGGAAGACCCAGCCTCGTTTCATCTTCAAAGTTCTCACTGATGGAAGGAGGTTTTGGCTCAAAATCTCACGATACATGGCCCCATTCATTCTGTCCTTAACACGGATCAGTCGTCCTGTCCCCTTGGCAGAAAAACAGCCCCATAGCATGATGTTTCCACCCCCATGCTTCACAGTAGGTATGGTGTTCTTGGGATGCAACTCAGTATTCTTCTTCCTCCAAACACGACGAGTTGAGTTTATACCAAAAAGTTCTACTTTGGTTTCATCTGACCACATGACATTCTCCCAATCCTCTGCTGTATCACCCATGTGCTCTCTGGCAAACTTCAGACGGGCCTGGACATGCACTGGCTTCAGCAGCGGAACACGTCTGGCACTGCGGGATTTGATTCCCTGCCGTTGTAGTGTGTTACTGATGGTGACCTTTGTTACTTTGGTCCCAGCTCTCTGCAGGTCATTCACCAGGTCCCCCCGTGTGGTTCTGGGATCTTTGCTCACCGTTCTCATGATCATTTTGACCCCACGGGATGAGATCTTGCGTGGAGCCCCAGATCGAGGGAGATTATCAGTGGTCTTGTATGTCTTCCATTTTCTGATGATTGCTCCCACAGTTGATTTTTTCACACCAAGCTGCTTGCCTATTGTAGATTCACTCTTCCCAGTCTGGTGCAGGTCTACAATACTTTTCCTGGTGTCCTTCGAAAGCTCTTTGGTCTTGGCCATGGCGGAGTTTGGAGTCTGACTGTTTGAGGCTGTGGACAGGTGTCTTTTATACAGACGATGAGTTCAAACAGGTGCCATTCATACAGGTAACGAGTGGGGGACAGAAAAGCTTCTTACAGAAGACGTTACAGGTCTGTGAGGGCCAGAGATTTTCCATGTTTGAGGTGACCAAATACTTATTTTCCACCCTAATTTACGAATAAATTCTTTACAAATCCTACCATGTGAATTCATGGATTTTTTTTTTCACATTCTGTCTCTCACAGTTGAAGTGTACCTTTGGTGCAAATTACTGACCTCTGTCATCATTTTAAGTGGGGGAACTTGCACAATCGGTGGCTGACTAAATACATTTTTGCCCCACTGTATAACCGCGGGCATACACACACTAACCTAGCTCAACAGGATGACTAACATGAAGTCTCACGGAATGATCCCGCGTCGGTGGGAGCTCCAAGACTCTCCTTAGTAGCTCCCCCGACGAGGCCTGATCAGCAGCAGGTGTGTGGCTTCAGGTGTGGCCAGACCGTCAGCAGGGCCACACCCACCAGGCCTGAAGGCGCACATATACACACACGCAAACAGGGAGAAAGACAGCAACACCAAATATACATACAATAATAATAATATAATACATAACTGCTCAGGGATCCTGGGTCGCTCAGACCCAGGACCCTGACAGTATTGCAGTCCAAGCAATAGGAATGGCTAAAAGTAAACTGTGTTCCTTTCATTTAAAATCAATATTTTGTAACAATGCAATTTACACTCTTCAGTGTGTAAGATCAAGGTTAGTTACTGTATTTGGTATAATTTGTTATTTTGATTTTGTGATACTTCCTCTTCTTTTTATAGTTTTCACATACACAAAAATCTTTATGGTCTCTTAAAACAGTCGTAAAGTAATCAAGAAAAAAGCTGCAGAGACCTGTTTACCCCACATACTGGTTTTAGTGAGCTTTTCCTGTTTAGGTGTCTATGATGTAACCATATCTCGAGTGGAATCAGATTTCCCTAAAACTGCACGCTTTATAGTGTCATTACAGCTAGCTTTGTATCAACCTTTATTTAATCCATTAATATACGGGCTTAAAATGAAGGAAATTTCTAAACATCTAAAAAGGTTGTTTTGTCCAACAAAAATTATTTGATGCGTCAATAAATTCCTCATTTCAGAAAATGTACTTATTAAATATTATAAACTTATGAAATTGATTTGGTCCACATATTTTACACCTTTTTTTGAATAAATTAATCAGTGAATTTAAAATGTTTTGACTGTTTATGATTGCTCAGGGTGCATGTCTATTGTAACATAAATGTTATAGTTTAAATGTTATAGTTACAGTTAAAATACTGGTTTTTAGACTGCTGCACAGCACAAGAACTCAAGAGTAAAACATTTACAAATTCCAGCAAAATGAATTAAACTAATGCTGACATATACTATGTTCAGAGAGTTTTCTTCATCCGTTAATTTTATACAGTGTTAATTTTTACTTTTCTTTAAATAAATTTGCAAAATGTATAACATTTACAGCTGTACTTCTGTGAAAACAAAATAAAATCTTTCCTCTCTGAGCTTTTATTTTTAGAAATTGTATACTGAGTAGGGACAAATGTTGTGTGGTCTATGACACAATTTACAAATAACAAAATAAACCGTTTTATTGTTAAACATACATAGCTTTGTGAAGAAATCAAACAAATCAAACAAGCCTGCCTGAGGCCTGTTTGAAACTAGAACCTTGATGCTGTGACAGTGATAACATTACACCAGTAGTACACTAGTAATGCAGGGGAGTGTAAAAGAAGAGGGCGACCTGATTGCATTTCATAAAAATATTCCTTTTTTTCTCAAATATGTGTACGAGAGGTGATGAAGACTAAATCGATGAATATGTAACTGTTCTTGAGGTCTGTTAGATCAGACCTTATTGTATGAATTCTTATCTGAATATCTTACAAACTAGACAGATTACATTGGAATTACTGTTTTATGAAGCAATATGGTCTGAACTGTGAGAAAGTCTAAAGGTGGAGAAAAAGAAAACTCCCCTTTGTTCTGAAAAGGGAGTATCACAAAATGGTAACAATACAAGAATACACTGTTAGACAAAATGCGCAAAATCCCTACCCTCACCTATGGCCACGAGCTGTGGGTAGTGACCGAAAGAACGAGATCGCGGATACAAGCGGCAGAAACGAGCTTCCTCCGAAGGGTGGCTGGCCTCTCCCTTAGAGATAGGGTGAGAAGTTCGGCCATCCGGGAGGGGCTCAGAGTAGAGCCGCTGCTGCTCCACATCGAAAGGAGCCAGCTGAGGTGGTTCGGGCATCTGACAAGGATGCCCCCTGGGCACCTCCTGGGTGAGGTGTTCCAGGCATGTCCCACCGGGAGGAGGCCCCGGGGCAGACCCAGGACACGCTGGAGAGATTATATCTCTCGGCTGGCCTGGGAACGCCTTGGTGTTCCCCCGGATAAGCTGGAGGAGGTGGCTGGGGAGAGGGAGGTCTGGGCCTCTTTGCTTAGGCTGCTGCCCCCGCGACCCGGTCTCGGATAAAGCGGATGAAGATGGATGGATGGATGGATGTTAGACAAAATAAAATAAACTGCTATCAAGCTGGCCACACTTAAGCAGTCAGTGGGTTACTGTTCTTTCTATCTTTCCTTCTTTCTTTTCCCTTTAATCTTTCTTTCCTTTTACTTCTTTGTTTCCTCTGGGCCCAAGGCTTAGTGACTGATGTGTGTTTATAGCTCTTTAGAGAAATGAGGAGTGGTGTGTGTGCAATAGGTTTCCTTTCTTCTCTACTTTTGTCCTATTCCTTGTCTCCCATGCATAAAATTGCTGTTCACATTCACACACATGCACACACGATCATAGACAGTAGGCACATTTTATCTAATCAGTTTCCTGTAGATAAATCAAAGAGCGCCTTCTACATTTATAAAAGAGAGAGAGAGAGAGAAGGTCTGTGCTACTTTTTGACTGAAGGTTCCTCTGATATATATGTTTTATTTCTGTGATGTCTTTCTGTCTCCCTGCAGACAAGTATAAAGGAGGGTGTTAAAAGTCCGCTTGTTCACTGTAGCTGTTTTATACTACGTTACCCATGATGCACCTCGGTATCCGTACTTCCGGTTGGGAACGTGTTCAGTGCAGTTCTGCACAGATGAGAGGTGTGTCGGAGGAGTAACGTATTTATTTGCATTCCTGTGTGAGTTAATACTGTGTGCGTACTTACCATGTGAGTATTGTAAGATGAGAGTGATGCTTGTTTGACTTTATCTGTGTAGTTTGCTACGTAAGAAGCTAGTCCCGTTGCTATCGCTAAGATGCGTTTTTTTGGCCTACTACAGGCAGCCTTGTGTTCAGCCCATATTTCATTCCATATACGACTTACTGTCAAGCATTGTGGTTGTAGGTGGATGTAACTATTTACTATGTTTATTCTCTGAAGCGTTGTAATCTGCAGAGGTCTGGTTTGCCAATGTATATACGAGCCAGAAATTCACGGGGGCAGCAACCCAAGCAGAGATCCCTCTCCCCAGCCACCTCCTTCAGCTTGTCCGGGGGAACACCAAGGTGTTCCCACGCCAGAAAGAGATATAATCTCTCCAGTGTGTCCTGGGTCTGCCCCGCAGCCTCCTCTCGGTGAGACATGCCCAGAAATCCTTACCCAGGAGGCATCCTTGTCAGATGCCCGAACCACCTCAACTGTCCCTTTTAGATGTGGAGAAGCACCTTGTCTACTCTGAGCCCCTCCTGAATAGCCCAACTTCTCACCCTATCTCTAAGGGAGAGGCAAGCCACCCTTTGGAGGAATCCCATTTCCGCCGCTTGTGTCTGCGATCTCATTCTTTTGGTCACTACCCACAGCTCGTGACCATAAGTGAGGTAGGGACGTAGATCGACCGGTAAATTGAGAGCTTTGCTTTTACACTTAGCTCTCGCTTCATCAAAGGGGCCGCATCACTGCGGCAGCTGCACCGTCTGTCTGTCGATCTCCCGTCACTCGTGAACAAGACCCGTTGCTATCGTTACACTCGCTACACTCCTCCACTTGGGGCAGGAACTCGTCCCTGACCCGGAGTGGGCACTCCACCCTTTCCCGGCTGAGGACCATGGCCTCTGATTTGGAGGTGCTGATTCTCATTCCCACGGCTTCACACTCGGCTACAAACCGTTCCAAGGGGAGCTGGAGGCCATCACCCGATGAAGCCAACAGAACCACATCATCAGCAAAAAGCATAAATGCGATCCTGGGACCACCCAAGTGAAAGCCTTCCGCCACTTGGCTATGCCTAGAAATTCTGTCGATAAAAATTATGAACAGAATCGGTGACAAAGGGCAGCACTGGCGGAGCCCATCACCTACCAGGATCGAGTCCGACTTATTGCTGGCTATGCGGCCCAAGCTCTTGCAACAGTTGTTTAATGGACTGAATGGCCGCCCGTAGCAATGGGCCAGATACCCCATGCTCCCGGAGCACCCCCCACCCCACTGGACCCTTGAGGGACACGGTTGAATGCTTTCTCCAAGACCACAAGACACATGTACTGTAGACTGATTGAGCAAACACCCATACACCCCACAAGTATCCTTGAGAGGATAAAGAGCTGATCCAGTGTTCCACAACCAGACGAAAACCGCATTGTTCTGTATCCGAGGTTCAACTAATGGATGGCCTCTCCTCTCCAGTACCCTGGCATAGACTTTCCCAGGGAGGCTGAAGAGTGTGATTCCCCTGTAGTTGGAACACACCCTCCATTCCTCTTTCTTCAAGATGGGGACCACCACCCCGGTCTGCCAGTCCAGGGGTACTGGCCCTGATCTCCACGCATCATTGTAGAGACATGTCAACCAAGACAGCCCTACAACATCCAGAGCCTTCAGGAACTCGGGGCGGACCTCGTCCACCCCAGGGGCTCTATCACCAAGGAGTTGTTGAACTGCCTCAGTGACCTCGCCCCCAGAGATTGGCGGGTCATCCCCTTCGTCCCCAGACTCTGCCTCCGCCACAGAAGACGTGCCAGTGGGATTGAGTAGGTCATTGAAGTATTCTTTCCACCGCCCGACAATTTTCTCAGTCGAAGTCAGCAGCACTTCACCCGCACTATACACAGTGCAGGTAGAACACAGCTTTCCCCTCCTGAGCCGCCTGACGGTTTGCCAGAATCTCTTTGAGGCAGTTCAAAAGTTTTTTTCCATGGCCTCTCCGAACTCCTCAAACACCCAAGTTTTTGCTTCAGCCACCACCCGCGCCACATTCCGCATTGGCCTGTCGGTACCTATCAGCTGCCTCCGGAGTCCCACAGGCTAAACAAGCCCAGTAGGACTCCTTCAGCTTGTTGGCTCCCCTCACCTCTGGTGTCCACCATTTGGTTCAGGGATTACCACCACAAAAGGCACCAACTAGCTTGCGGCCGCAGCTCACTGCAGCGACTTCGGCAATGGAGGTGCTGAACATGGTCCATTGGGACTCAATGTTCCCAGTCTCCCTCGGAATGCTGTTGAAGCTCTGCCGGAGGTGTGATTTGAAGAATTTCCGGACCGGGGCCTCTGCTAGGCATTCCCAGCACACCCTCACTGTACTTTTAGGCGCCTCCCACGCCACCTGATCCAACTCACCACCAGGTGGTGATCAGTTGACAGCTCAGTCCCTATCTTTACCCGAGTGTCTAAAACAAATGGCCTCAGGGTTTACAAAATCGATCATCGACCCGTGGCCTAGAGTGTCCTGGTGCCACGTGCACTTATGGACACTCTTGTGTTTGAACATGGTGTTTGTTATAGCCAAACTGTGGTTTGCACAGAAGTCCAATAACAAAACACCACTTGGGTTCAGATCCGGGAGGCCGTTCCTCCCATTCATGCCCCTCCAGGTCTTGCTGTCATTGCCCACGTGAGCACTGAAGTCTCCCAGTAGGACAACAGAGTCCCCAGGATGAGCACCCTCCAGTACCCCACCCAGGGACTCCAAGAAGGCTGGGTACTCTGAATTGCCGCTCGGCACATCAGCGCAGACAACGGTCAGAACCCGTTCCCTGACCCGAAGGCGAAGGGAACAAACCCTCTCGTCCACTGGGAGAAACCCCAACATACCAGCATCAAGCTGAGGGGATACCAAGATACCCACCCCAGTCTGCCG